TTCCCTCTCGATTTAAAATGATTGGGACCAATAGTATATTGATTATGGCTCAGATCAAAAAACCCCCCAAATTCATGAAGCAACTCCACACAAATTGGACCAAGAATCCCACTTCAAAACCATGAAAGAAACATCCAAGAATCATAAAGAAACTACAGCGAACGGATTGCACAAGGAAGACGGCGAGCAGGACAGAAAATCGCAACGCATAGGTTCAAATTCTAGTGCCCAGGCACTGGCCAATACGCCAATAGTAATGAAGAAAAATGGCCAAATAATAATAAACGAATAATTACCACTATACCCAAGATTCATTGCAAAAAACCAGAGAATGGCGAGAGAAAAAAATAGAAAAGAGAAGTCTAGGGTTGTGTGGGAAAAGCAGAGTAAACCAACATGGTTGTTGCGTGTGAAATGGAGTGAAGCATTAAAGTAGGGAGGGATTTGTCAACAGTAGGAACCCGTTCGGCTACAGTGGTGTGAAACCTTGGATTCAAGATGAATAGTAAATTTGAATCCTCTTTTAAGGTAAAGGAGGATATTATCCTACATGCCCTTAAAAGAGAGGATGGAATTGCACTGTTCATTTTTTCACCAATACTTGTTTATAACTGTTTCAATACTGTTTACTTCAAAAAGGCTTCTCATTTTTCATCTATCGTTTGACGGTTTCTAATACTGTTCCCCAAATATCTTCACTACAAAATGTCTTTTACTCTCTCTCTCTCTCTCTCTCTCTCTCTTCGTACTATGCTTCTCTTTTTCTTTGCTTTTGGATCTCGATTTCATTGGACTTTGACTTATACTTTAGGGACAAGGACATTGACGAAGAAGATGAAAATAAAGAAGAAAAAAGATCTGTTGCGACGACCTTTATGGAAAGTCCAAGCATCATGGCACAGAACTCAGATGTGTATCATTATGCAGCGTTCTATAAACTGCCATAGATCAGAATTTACAAGTTTACCTGTAGCTCAGTTGAATTATCCCAAATTTTTATTGAGTTTGGAAAGGCAGATTGTGAGCATTCAACGACAATGACAAACGTTGGTGATGCACAATCAACTTATAATCTTATGCTAGGAAGTGTTCATGGTGTTGATATAGTGCGGAGCGGAGCAGCTAATTCAAGCACATAACCCTGGGCCTCCTCATCTCTCGACGACATCAACTCAATTATGACTTCAAGCTGGCATATCTACATTTCGACTAGTTAACGATCATGTGACAAGATTTTGGAGCTACGCACAACATAGATCGCAAATGTATTAACTCACTGAGGGTCGTCGAGGAGAGCTGATAATTGTTTGCTAGTTGGACATCCCTCTGCTCGGAAGGCTCGCCAATGATGCATCCGAAGACAGTGTGTCTCCTATCGCCTAGCAAACCGAGCACCTAGGAGGGGGACAGTCTCATATGCCCAGATCTGCAACACATACAATTATTATATTCATGTTTATTATAAACAAATATTTTAACGTTGATTATGTCAAACATTTACTTGCATTGCCAGAGGCAATCCTTATGTATCATACTTACGCATGATCCCCTTTGGCCTCGAGTGTGATAAGGTGAAAACGTGTACCGTGTCCTCGAGAAATATCTAGCTCCACGGATATGTGTTGAAGACATCAAGATCGTCAACGATCTCCAGATGGAAGAGGTCAATCGCAGTCTTCATGTGTTGACATCTCAACATGCTTTCAAGGATATAGACCAGGCCGAGCTTCAGTCTGTCTAACATATGGTCACACCCCCATGATCACGTCCATCAGCTGTGGCGAAGCATCGTCCCATGTCCCTCGAAGTAAGCATCATAAAGCCTGCTGCCTCTTTGAGTACCAGAACAAGCTGCATCATGGCCCGTAATCTCTAATCCAGTGATCAGGGCAAACTTGACCATAGAGAAACTGGCGACTTTGCCCTTGAGGTCGAAGTAGAGAGCATCGCCGTCGACTAGACCCAGCAATCGACACAGTTGGGCATGGATGATCTGCCCCGAGAACTGCACAACTCTCAACTCATATAGAAGCCAAAGAAAGGACCTCCGTAGCATATCTGCATGCTGCTCAAGCAGCAACTCCAATACGACGGTGTAACTACCAAGGCTACAGTTCCAGGTAGCCTTACCCGGCATCTGTCTTAAAGTCGAGTTCAAGTGAGACCCCATGCTGCAAAAATTTAAATATTAGTAAATCGAACATATGATAATTGAATACAATATAATCTCGGAAAATTAAGTGAACCAAATCTTAACAAGTGAACTGAAGAAAGAATTGTAAATTAAAAAATAAAAGAAAAAAAAGAATTTGCTAA